GTGCGGAGAAACCATCGTCGGGCGGCACGCCAGCGCCTTTTCCACGAAGGCCAGGCAACCCAAAATGGTTTGTGGCACGGTGCGCACGCATGGCTCTAAACGCCGCTCTTGCAAGAAATCAAGAATCACACCGACATGGCTGGTCCAGTGCGCATGAGGCCATTCTCGGCCATCCGCTTTGCCCGCCTTGTGGGCCAAACGCGCGCCGTCTGATGGCGCCAAACTTGCGTAGCCAAGACACGGAAAGTTCATCAGCACCCTAGGGCTCGCAACGGCAAGGCTTAAGCCGGGTCAGCATGCCTTGCGTTGGCACGGGGACCAGCGCACTGCGTTTATGAGACCGTGCAGCTTCCATCTCCGCACGGGCCTTCATCTCAACCAGCAGGTCGCGCGCCTGCACGTGCGCCAACTCCGAGCTCCACGTTACGCTTGACAGTATAGTTCCAGGTCAGAAGCGTCGTCGAATATCGTCGAATAAATTGGTCAGCACATCACAAGACGGCTGCGCTCCATCTGCCTCGCCCAAAAGCCGCCTGAATCGTGAAGGAAGCAAGCTCCGCGGCGGTCATGTCAAGCAAGAAAAGCAGAAACTATACAAGACAACTGACGACGCGCTGGTTGCAACACGAAGCACCAGCCTATGCGACCTCTAACCAGACCACAGCCGGAGGTTGCACTGGCTTGTGCCAAAATGGCTACGGCTGAATCAAACTATGATACTCTGTGCAATCAAGTACTTGATAACTTTACCGAACTGAGGCAACAAGAGCTGCAATCACAGCTCACGAGTCACTGGCGATGAAATGGGCTTGACGCTGACAGCCACCCCGTCGCCGGTAAGGGGACACTGCTAGGACAACACTTTTCAGCAGGGCTCCAGGGCTGTCATCTTCGGGAGGCGTCCCTGTGCGCCAATGCCGAAAACGAAAGGATCCAGGTTGCAGGTGGCATGGAGCCTGCAGGGGAATCCAAGTGATCTTCTGATGAATCCTGGCCCTGTGCTTGGCTCCGGCCTTGGCCCGAAGTAGACCACCTCGCCGGGCTGCTGCACGCAGAACCGAAGCCCAGCTGGGGGACTCTCCTCCCAGAGATTCTCTTCACACGGAAAGTGCGAGCTACCAGCATACTCTCAGGGAGAGTGTAGTAAAGTGTGCTGCCGCTTGCTGAGGAAATGCAAGCCATCTGCTCTCCTCGAGCCATTGGCAGGGGTGACGAGCGTTGGCATGCTCCTCGCCTGCCATGCAGCACAGGCTGAACTTTCAGGCACACAGCTTATACTGCAATCACAGTAGTGAATAGTGGGCCGCAAAGCATGCAATAACTTCTGAGAGGGACTTCCTCCATTCTCCAGGCCAAGTGTCGGAGAATCTCCTCTGATGGCTCTTCAGGAGCGATCCACCACGCCTGGCGCTCCGCAAGAATCTCGAAAGTGACGACCCTTTTTCACATGTGGAGCGCCCCCGGAGCACCTTGCGTCCATGCAGGACGGCGAGCCAGGTCTCCTGGGCTGCTGCTAGTACGAGAAGCGCCTGCTGTCCTACGCTGACGCGATAAGTTCGTTTCGCAGTCAGTCAATCCAGATTTATTCACCACACGATGAAACCCCAAGCATCCGGCTTTCCCACTCTGTGTCTCATGGAACTCATCCGCAGTTCAACTACAAAGCCCGGCCTCGTGCACGTGAAGCTGCGTGCCGGAAGCCTCCGACATCCCAATCTGCACCGTCGGCCTCAGGTCAAAATCTGCCTCGGCTCAAAGTCCCAGAAGGCACAACTCAAGGGCGTGCACCCTAGCGACTTCCGTATCAGAGTGCAGAAGTAGCCGAAGCCACTGTCCGCTCATGGACGAGTTGCCAATATCTTTGGGCTGATCTCCTTGGCGGCGCTGCCGTTACAATGCCAACTGGCGACCGTGGACGGAGAGCACTCTCCCTGGTAGCAATAGCTGGTTCGGGGCTTGTCCATACACGGTGTCACAGAGGTTGGATGCCTGTTCCTGCAACTATGCTACCTAGCCTCGGGCACATTGGGCTCGCCCCTGAGTCAAGCGGAAACAAACCGCTCCTGCACAGCTTGCACAGGTCGTGGAACTTAAGCATGTGCTGAATGTTGAGGACATGTCAGAAGAACTTCAGGCTTGGGTACGAGCGCATTTATTATGAGTTGCCTGAGGAACGGCGTCTATGCTAGTACGCAGCCAAAAACACTCAAAATCCCAACTTGTCTTTCCAATCCGAATCCCCATCAAACAAGACTGAAATGGAAGACCCACTTCGCAAAGCAGTCAATAAAGGCCCGGCAAGATCGAGAATATTGCAAGGCTTGAACGTGTAGCCACGTGATGCCCCACAGCGTGGCTTCCAGGCCTCTGGTCCCCAGAAAGCTTCCGAGACTAAGCGGTGGGAGTAGCCTGCGGGCGAAACAAACCACGCTACCTGACCTTGCTACAGAGCAGGTGACGGCAGGTGCGAATTCCTTTCATGGCTTAGGGCCCCCCCAATTTGCACTGCTTGAGGCCGATCTGTGGAGAGACGTTTGGGTTTCTCATTTGCAACAAACGTACGGACACTGCAGGCTCTTTCACTTCATGTCTCCCGACAGCTAGCTGCACTTACATGTCACACATACATGATGCATCACGATGCGGTCCACGAAGATGCCAACTTCCTGCCTTTTGCAACCAAGTTCTTCGCTGTCTGGTTCCTGAGTTGTCGTGCGTCCAGCATCTGCATCGATGCCACGAGCGGCACACCCAAGTGAAATTGAAGGTCTTCATGTGTCGGTGAATGTCTGCGCTCCCATTATTCCCATGTGTCAATCGTCGCGGAATGACGAACACAATGATGTTTCACAAGCGCAGCCATCAAAATCCCGTAAACCTCGAGTTGCCCGAGAAAGGGAAAGCAGTCTTTCTGCGTTGATACCTATGCTTGTGCTGGTGCTGGCAAGGTTCGCAGACAGGAAGAAGTCCTGCACGACCATGCAACATGAAGCGTCGCAATACTCGCATGGCACGAGTGTCTACGATTTCTGATACGCGGCCATTCCTGTCATCAGTGCCTGATTCTGATGTTTGGACGAAGCCTCTGACGGAGCCCGAAATTCCCCTCATCATGGCTAGTCCTCGAGCAGAACTTCTGGGGTGGCTTCTGGCCGATCCCAGCGGCCCGTGCCTTCCCAAGGGCTCAGGTCAGGCAGACTCTCGGGTTTGCGTTTGCCAGGGGGGGGGGGCTTTTTGGGGGAAGCAAGGCTATTGGTTCGGCACAGGTTCGTAGCCGTTGCCAGCTTTGCGCACACAGTCAGACCAGCAAAATGTACCCGTCACTGCGGTGGCCCGTGGTGTGCCGCGCATTGAAGTCAAAACGTGCTTGCATCTGCTGGGCATACTATTTTGCATGCTATGCTATACGCTTTGGCATGCTTTGGCTCTGGATTCAAGCATGAGAACGTTGCAGCAGGCACCGCAGATCTTCTGGTTTCAAGCACCAATGACTTTGCGCAGACTTCGCGACGTTTATACTAGCACTGGCCTGTAGCGCCCCCGAGCAATGGACCCACAAGCAATGCAACCGTAAGATGTCGGCCCACGGTTCCAGTTGCAAGGGTTCTCGCGACTTTAAGTAGCGTGTTGCTGAGTTGTCATCTGCTTCGCAAGTCAGTGCTGGCGTCCGCTTGTAGACTCCGATTTCTCTTAATGACTTCCTGGCCATCTCGGCCGACAACTGTTTCATTCCGCTCAAGTTCGGCGCTGCGGGTGTGGTAGCGTGGACAAAGAAATTGGCAAAACGACTGGGACTTGCGAATACCAGCGGTCTTTCCCCCGGTAGGGAACTTATGAAAGTGCTCCAGGGTCTGCCAGCGCGACACTCCTGCCTGTCTGTATGAAGTAATGTCCTGCCGAAAGCCAGCACAAGGTCTAGATATATCATTTGGAATACGTTGCAAGGTGAGCTGGCAGTCCGAAACGTTCGAGAATTCGATCTTTGGACCAGCTCGCCGATGTGAGCCAAGGCTCTGTCCTGGGAGCGTTGAGCGCATGTTATCAGTTTGGATCATAATGCAAGCGCCAGGGCCGCTCGAGCTAATTGTCGGGCATGCTTTGTGATTATGTGATCCTGCGTGGTCTGCAAGTCTGAAGGCCAGGTCAGCATCGGTGGAGCTGGCTTTTGACCGTGAGGCCTGCGCTGATAATCCCTGCAATGCAGCCGGGAAACAAGCCTCTCAAAACCAAGCCGCCCTCACTCTTGGCCGCAAGCTTTCGGAATGCCTTCCGGCCTGCCACCACTCTTAAAAATCAAAGTGCACATTGGCTTGACACCTTGCCGGATAAAGTGATGGATGAGACAAGACAGAGCTTCCCAATGTTGCTCTTCAGTTCAGGGCCGTTAAGTTGAGACCACTCCAGATCAGATCCCGAGAACTCTGAAGAGAGCGACCCCCTTTCGGAAGCCCGAGTCTCGGGCTTAGATTCCTTGCGTCGACCGCCGCGAACTCGCAGGAAGAAGCCCCGTGCTCAAGGAAGCGCCGGACCGCTTCCACCGGTCGCAAGTAGTCCTGCAGTCAAGCTCCTACAGCGATGAGAAGGTCTCTCAGTCCGTTGTCTCCGCACTCTCAAGCCTACAACTCGAGGAATATTGCGTCGTACGAATGTGCTGTAGGTCTTAGGTCTAGGCTGCTTTGCCAAGTCCTCATCGTCGATTCGTGGAGGAGGCTGCGGCCATGCTGGCTGTAATAACGCGGCGGCCAGCCACGCCGACAAGGCCATTCAGCTTGGCACACTGCTGCTTGTCGACTGATTGTGGTAGTTGTGAAGACGTAGACTGGAGAAGGGGTAGTCGGTTGGTTACTCCTTGTTACAAGTATAAGGTAAGCAGGTGGCAGTAAATGTTCATACGATGAGGTTTCAGCCTCAATTGTTCAGAAAGCTTGTGAGACCCAAGACGTCTTGCACCAGAAAGCCCGCGCCCACGCCAAAAGCCCCTCACTCGCGCTTCCCTGTGCCTGCGTCTCCTTGCGAGCATTGCCCTCCGACAAGCTCTCCTGACACAGAAAGACCAAGGGCTTGGCATGGGCGACAGGCTTTGTGACTTCGGTTGTTTTTGCTATGATAGCTCTTCTCAGGTTCTCGGGTAGGTAGCTGCCCCTCGTCAAAGAGCCTTGCCATATCCCTCCCGCCCACACTCTCGCCGTGGCCTTCAGCCTCTCACTGCCAGCCTTGGGTAGGACAGGAAGGCGGAGCAACGTAGGCAAACGCTGCGATCATGTAACGGCAACATATGGAAGGGAAATGCTAAAGAAGAAGGGCCATCTGGATAATTAGCTTGTTCATAGGTCCTGTCCGCGCTTGAATGGTCCCGGAAGGGCAGACCCAACCAAGACATCTTGTCAGCACCGGGCTCGCGACTAGATCCACGAAAGTGATCTTGCCTGGGTGACAGTACGTATATGCGAGCAAGCATGCAGGCAGGCAAGAAAGCAGCAAGTCGCATGGAAAACGACGTTGATGCGGAATTCCGTACTCAAACGCTGGACCTGTTTCTCTCGCCGCCTTAGCTAGCTGCCGTATGTCTTCGCTATCGTCGGTGCTGCATCGGCAGCTGCATCTGCCTGCAGGAATACTCGCCCGGACATGACCTTCTACGGGTCTCCCTCGTGGCACCTGAAGGTCGTCTAACTATGCGGCAAAACTTGAAGAGTTCCGCCTTCGGTGTACTGCAGATCCAGCGCAAGTGGCCAACATCCGAATTACCTCTCTTTCTTCCAAGCGACCATATGAGGTGAAAAAAGGTTTTGGGTAGAACAGAGTCCACTGGACTAGCCCCCTTCGACCTTCGAGGTCCGCACGCTGCCAGCCAAATCACCAGCTGCCAGAGGCAGCACACATGTACTAAACGGTCCTATACAGCCGGAGGCCCTGCGACAGGTACCTGTCTGCATTGAGCCTCTCTCGCTGCTACTACGGCCATCTGTGCTTTACCCAAGCACGTGTGGTTCCCTGTGACTTGGAGACTACATTCGGGAAGCCGCTACATTATCAACTGCGAACACTAGTCTTCCGGCCGGGATGCCCGAATGATGTTGGGGACCTTGCTTAGCTTGGTGAGGTACAGCTGATCCGGATCCACACGCAGAAGGGTCCGACAAATGAGCAGGTCTGAAAGCCGCATGCTGCAAGCGCTTGCGAATTGATGGCAATGTTGCGACAAACACCGCGGTGCAATGGTAGCAGACCGCTGCACCAGCCCCATGATGCTGCACCCAGAGAGTAAGTTCTGGACGCAGGCTGGAAAACCGCTAGTTGTACCGTCAAATAAACTTGTTAGAATACGTCGCCGATAGTGTTGAGCGGGTACGCTCGCACGCCAGGTGCATCGTAGCGCTCTCTGAGTGCGTCAAGTGAATCCAACGGCTGGTGATTATTCCTTCGTGGATGTTTCTGGCACCGGTGGATGCGCAACTGATGTATGCAACTGGAGAAGAGAGCACGGCACCGTGCAAGGAAACACGCATGTTGTGGTCAGGGTCGCTCCCGTCTGATTATCACTTACAAGCTTCTGGCGGATCGTGACGGGGAATATGCCTGCATGCATGCATACATACATATATTTGATATTATACAATATACATATACACAGATTGTAACCATGTATTTTTGTATCTATGCTCGCGCACCCCCGGCAATATCCACCTCAGGCTGCTGTTAGAATTCCTGATGCCTGACACTCGAGAACCTCGGCAAGGATCAACAATCCCAAAATTCTCCAAATCTGAGCAACTAGGGCTCTGCAACCCTACTGGATGCGAGGATTTCAGCAATTCTGTGGATTTCTGATGCCTGCGGAGGTTGTCGCATTTCCTTGTTTGGAAACGTTGAGGAGGTTACACAAAGCCTGGCGGCATTTTCCCAATGTCAGGTGCGAAAACACCGACAGGGATCAAGACTTTGGACCATTTTGTGCCGGGCGGCATTTGGGCAACCTCAGATGTGAAAACCTCGGCAGGGATCAAACATGCGTTAAATTCTGCGTCCTCGCAAAATTGAACACCGATGGCCCCGTAGTTGCGAGGATTAAAGCCTTTTAGGCATTTCTGATCCGCGCAGCAGGTTTTCGCATTTCAGGTGTTAGGAATGTCGGGTCTTCAGCCTGATGGCATTTTTGCGACGTGGACCAAAATCAAAAAAATAGTAGTCAGAATAATGGCAAAAATAATGACAACAACTACAACAGTGGTAACGATGGTAGTGTTAGCTGTGGGGTTATCATCAGTAGGTTTTTGTCCGCGTTGTATAACCCGATCACGTCCTAACCAAAACATTTCTCTGCATGTGGCTATTCTATCGAGGCCATCGGGTTCCCATTTATTCATTCAGACCCTTCTTGCTAAATGGGGCTATTGTACTTGCGAGTATCAACACACATATTGAGGCCTCCTTATTAAATGAGTAAGAGATACAAGCGCGGCGCTATTGCAATAGCTTCACATACACTTGTAGTCAAGTTCTACACTTCCAGATGTTCTCTTCATCGACAAGCATCATAGATTTATTTGAGACAAACTGTGCTCAGGATGTGCCGGCATTCTTGCGAAGCATCCCAACACTTCAAGAGATTAGAGGCGCTTCCACCTTGTTTACGAAGCTCAGCAGTGAAGACAGGAGCTATGTCATTGTCACGTCGAACAATGGTAGCCGTTCTCTGATTTCTTGCTGTAAGTGAGGGGCAAGGGAGTCTGGTTATGTTACTTCCAGGAGTTCTTCTGGTTCTAAGAGAAGAACAGAACAGCGAATCTTTTTCCGATGTGAAGTTGTCCTAACTCCCACAAATTATAAACGGACATAACGGTGCCAACATCTCGCCAGACGTTTTGGAATTGTTGGAATTCAAACACTTCAATTCATCTCACCAGAATTCTTGGAATTCGTGCAATGTTCAGAAGTTTTGGATTTTTTTAAATTCCAAATTTCCAAGACACCTCACCAGAATCTTCTGACTTCTTTAACAGATTCTTTGGAACTGTCGGAACTCTTGTAATGCCTGGAATTTCGAAAATGGGATTAGTTGTGGCAGCATCGATGAAATAATGCACAGGTTTGACATGGACTTCGTTATTACCAAAGGAAGCTGGAAACCATCGTAAAGGCTGAGTAAACTTCCAGGCTCCATGTCAGAGGTTGGTCTTGGGAGGGTGGCTATCTTTGTACATATATATTTATATAGATACAAATATTTTGGGATTGTATTTCTATATATATATATATACATACACTTACATACTCACGTATGCAACTATCTACTTACTATTTGTTTGTTTATGGAGAGGTACACAGATAGGTATATAGGTATAGAGGCATATAAGTATGTAGGTATCTAGGTATACAAGTATATCGATACACAGATATAGAGATATAAATTGACACGTTTACATACATGCATACATACGTACATACATACCTACACACATTCCTACATACATACATACATACATACATACATACCTACCTACCTACCTACCTACCTACCTACCTACCTACATACATACATACATACATAAATACATACATACATACATACATACTTCTTCTTCTTC